AACCTTCATGTTAGTCTGTGTAGGGAAGCAAAAAAGAAAATGGTGGAATCAGAGAAGTGTGCAACTGAGAAGAAAACATTTCGGTGACAAGACAACTTTCAAGAATAAATAATAGGAATCAAGCTGGCTGGCCTCTTTGGCTGTTTTTGTAGGCGAAACGTGACTTTGTATTAAGTTAGTTTGGAATACAAATACATATATAGTTCGTAAAAACAAAGCTCATGTTCAATAATCCAGGTAAAAAATCCAACAATGGTCAGTCAGGTTCTCTGAACGGTTTCCGTCAAGAAACCGTTCAGAGCAACCAACACTGTTGGATTTTTCTCCTGGATGGTTGAACATGAACTTTGATGTTTTGAAGCACGTTGGCCATGGCTGGCGTAAACGAGTAGATGGGGGAGAGGACTGATTCCAGAAACCATCTTAGCACCATCAAACTGGTTGACTATGTGTAGGTACTAGTTATGACTGAGTTTGTTGCGGCTCCTCAGACTGATGAAGTCTTCTGGATGAAAGACTAAATGTTTCAACAAAAAGAAACCATCCTGAGAACCTGACTTCACTTTGTTGCATAGTTTGGAATGTTTTACTGCAACTTTACTTATGAATGAATATAGTACATAACTTCGGAAGCCAAATCCCAAATGACCACTAACATCTTAAATACATAAATAGTTAGTTTACCAAATGATGATTGTGGAATAAACATAGACGTTGATGGACTGAGTGGAAAAATCTTTAGTAGGATGCAGGTTTTTAACTGTGATTGATGAAATAGAACATTTTCAAGTAATCGTGGAACTGAGGGACTTTTATTGACGGCTTTGTGTGAATTACATACAAAGTACTTTATGAGCAGTTCTAAATCAGTAGACATCAGCGCTCTCTTGGTTAGAAAACTGAGTCCTGTCGTGTGAGCCCAAACACAGCTGACTGACCCAGGAGTACAGCATGGAGACAAAGACAGACGAGCATTTATGCTCACATTTACACCTTATGACAATTTAGTTACTGATTAACCACCATGCGTGTTTTTGGTTTGTGGGAGACAACTGGTGTACGTTCACGTGTGCACCAGGACAGCATGCAAACTCCACACAGAAAGGCTCCGAGCTGGGAGGTGATCCTGTGAGCTTCTCTCTCGTGAGAAATTTTAGTGGCAGAGTACGCTGTCGTGGAAAAAGGGATTCCCAAAACAACCAGGTGTAAGCTTCATCAGATTTATTACAAAGATTTGGAAAACAATCGCAGAAGATCAATGTATTTATGAGTTCACACTTATCAATGCGTTCATCTGTCTGAAGCTCTGACCCGTTATGACTTCCTGAACAGAAAAAAACAGTTTTGTAGCACTTCCAGTCGTCAGCCCCTCCCTGCCCAGTCCGGCTGAAACCAGCTGCAGTCAGGAGTGGGAGGAATCTGGGAACCAGCAGCTCTCAAGGACTGTCTGAAGCTACTTCAATGTAATCATGTCAATCAGACCTTGAGGATAATAAAAACTATCTCTTACTGATCGGTCCCATCAAGACTGATTATTACATAAAACACTTTAGTATCATTCACCAACACATTAAAGAGCAGTGATAATTATGGAGCATGGTTAGTGCAAATAAAACACGTTCCCTGGCAACATAGATTCTTAATGCAAGCCTGCTTTGCATTATTATTATTATTATTATTTTAACTTAAAGATGACAGTATACGGCAGTAGTTCACAAAGTCAGGGTCCGGACCTCAATGTGGGCCCCGAAAGGTCCTGAAATGATCCACAGAACTCAAACAAAACTTTAAAATAATTCCTGCTAACCAGTGGTGTGGTCTACATTTTTGTAGTGGGTATACTGTGCTTGGAAACCAAAGTACACTGGTTAGTACAATGTAATCGTCAGTTTATTTGGACTTTTTAAGCATTTTGAACATTTCCAAATTTCTCATTTGAATAAATGAACAACAAACTTTGTACAACAGTTGGCTTTACATTAAAAACATGTTATAGAAATTATAAAACGGTATCAAAGCAAAGCGCTGCATACCGATAGATTGTTACGGAAGTGTTTAACTGCCCTTTAATGTATCACTGACAAGTGCCTAATGATATGCCATGTATCATCGGACACTTTGAAGTGGGTATACTGAAAATCTTAAACTTTTCTAGTGGGTATACTCCGTATCACGTAGGCTACACCACTGCTGCTAACCTATTTTTACTCTAACTGTAACAAAAGATAAAACAAGACATAAATAAAAAAGTACTTTAATATGATTTTGTGCTGTTTGTGAAGTTTAGACGAGGACATTTGGAATTAAAAAGCATTGCTGTTGATATTTTAGGAGTCAAGAGCCAAAGAGTTACTAGTTTAGGGCTGCATCGTGACTGGTTGGTTATTGCTGCTGACGCCCAACAAGGTTTGAATTTGAACTGTGAACTTTGTTTACGTGCAGTTTTTTTTAATGATGGTGCATCTTGTGATTCTGTTCGGATCGCTGTGGTTTTTATTGTTGCTTTTCTTCCACGTTCTGTATTCCTGTTTCTTTGACTTGGCTGAGTTTTGTTTCCTGCTCGGCTCTCACACTCTCATTTACTAAACGCTACACCCCACCTAACGCTCGTTCATCTTTTATTCTTTCAGCAAAAACATGGCTTCCTGTTTCATTTTATTTATTTTATTTTTGCTTCCTGTGCCCTCTCTGTTTCATTTATGCTCTTACAGCAGTGGGATTTCTAATATTTGGTTTTTCATGTTCTGGTATTTCGTTTTTGGTTCTAATCCAATTTATTTTTTTTCAAATAAATTGGATTAAATTCTTAAACCAGCCTGCGTCTGGCTTCTCTTGTCCTGCTTGTCTCCCTCAGTCATTTTCAAAATGTAACAGAATTTGAAAATAAAAGAAAAGATTTGTATCTTTTTGTGAACAATCCAAAAGTCCAACAAGTGTTTTTAATATATTTCTAGTAGCTCTGAAGATGCAACTTAGGATATGTCCCTCTTTAGACGTGAAATAAGCAAAGATTTATTATACATATCAACTGCTGACTCATCAAATCCAAAATTCTGATCCTGAAATATTGAATTTAAAAACATCTCAAGGACAAACTGTGTTGGTGGAAATGATTCATTGACTATTTTAAAGGTCCTGGGGATAAAAATGGGAAACGTCTTAAAGGTGCTTTTAGTAATCCGCATGACATATGATTATTATAATGGTTTAGAATAACCAATGAGCTGGGAATAATTCTGTATGCAGCATTTTGACATTCCAGGATGTTTTTACACCTACAGCACTGTGCAAATGTTTTAAACCACTTATATGAATCAGAAGTTCTTTAATGTTTGAAAAAGTTGCTTTTATTAATATTTCTTCAGACTTTCTGAGGAAACCTCAAGCGTTCATTTTTGGACTTCTCAATATCTCAATACTTGGCTATGACTGTGTCCTGAACTTGAACCTAGACACCCCGCCCCCGCCCCACCACAAATCAAACCCAAAAAATAAGACCTGAAACTATCTAAGGCCAACCAACACTGTCTGGAAGCAAAGATCTGAAACAGGAAGTGAGCTGGTCGTCCTCAGAGTTTTGTGAAATCATGCTGTTGGTACAAACATGTTTCAAAACTGTCAAACTGCTTGTTTTAACACTTTCAACAGATTCAACTAACTAAATAGGAGCAAATTAAGATTTTGTGACAGACTAGCAGTAAAAAAGTGGCTAAAAATCAAATTTAATTTATTTAAAATGCATTTTCTGTCATGGCCGCTCTTAATTTTACTCGTCTGCTTTTGGGCTGCAACTTATTATTTTGTCAGTTCGTCAGTTAACTAATCTTTTTAACTTATCAGAATTAACTATCATTTAAATTGGTCTCCTCTTCCTATGAGGGCAAGCCCTGTTCTGGGCTCCTGTTCATGTTTTACCTCACATGCTTCAGTAAATATCACTTAATGATGCAACATAACATTACACCGCTCGTATTTACTGCTCATCACAGGTCACGTCTGCCTCTTATCCGTCGTCTTCTTGCGCTGCCAAGCTTCT